CCCGGGAGGGGTCGGGGGCAGGAGGGTCTCCCCGGGAGGGGGCGGGGGCAGGAGGGTCTCCCACAATGAGGTGGGGGCAAGAGGGTCACCCCGAGAGAAGCAGCGGCAAGGGGGTCTTGCAGGCAGCCCCCCCAGCGCCCCTGGACTTCAGCGTCTGCTCTCCGCCTGGGAGCGCGAAGCCCCCAGGAGCAGTCTGAGGCTTGCGCAGTGACTGGTGTTTTTCGGGTGCGCCTCCGGACTCCCCAAGCCCAGTTCCTCCCTGGCTTCCTGCACACCCAGGAAGTGGCCAGCCCGCCCCGCGGCAGGTGGGGGCGGCTTCCCTGCGTCACCCGCCGGGCCGTGCGAGATGGCGCGGAGGCTGGGCCTGGGGCATGTCACCCTCTCCCCCGTGCCAAGCGGGGTGCTCCCCGACACCCCTCTCTTGTACCCTCAGTGGGGGGAAGATGCCCGTCTGAGCCTCCCAGCTGTAGCTCAAGCAGATCTGTGAGGCCCCAGGGGACCCAGGGAGGGCACCCGGGGAGGGGACACAGGAAGGGGACCTGGGGAGGGCACCTGGGGAGGGGACCCAGGGAGGGGACTCGGGGAAGGGGCACAGGGAGGGGACCTGGGGAGGGGACCCAGGGAGGGGACTCGGGGAAGGGGCACAGGGAGGGCACCTGGGGAGGGCACCCGGGAAGGGGACACAGGAAGGGGACCTGGGGAGGGCACCCGGGGAGGGGACCCAGGGAGGGCACCCGGGGAGGGGACACAGGAAGGGGACCTGGGGAGGGGAAACAGGGAGGGGACACTGGGACCCAGGCCTGGGGTGCAGCGTGCATCTGACTCTGGATGCTGCGAAGGCCCAGGCAGCAGCTCAGGGGCGACCTCGGTGGAAGGACTTGGGGGGCTGCGCCTGTGCCGCGGTCCTCCTGGCTAGAAGGGCCCAGCTGCAGCGGGTGACAGCCACTGGTGCTCACGCAGGGACCCCAGGGGTCACACCTGCATGGCTGGCTATCGCGAGGGGCTGCCCCGGACCAGACGTAGTTTATCACAGGGCCACAAGGGTGGGTGGGTGGGCAGTGTAAGGGGTGGACAGATGGTGGACAGGAGGAAAGGGGGTGGGGTGGAGGGATGGGGGATGGGTGGGGATGTGGGTGGACTGATTGATTGGTGGGTGGATGAGTTGATAGAGGGGTGGATGGATTAACGGGTGAGTGGATGGGTGGGTCAGTGGGTGGG